CCAAGGGAACATGAACCAAATATGCACTTTTATTCATTTACAATAAACTCATAAAGTACATCATTCTGATTGAAGCTAAGGGCATACAAAACTGTTCAACATCCCGTCCCTGAGAGAAAACATGGAAGACCAAGGTTTTTGGTTTGGGGTTGTGAGTAGGGTGGTTAGGCTACGTATTGGGGTCTCCTTGAAAAACAAAGGAAGACTGAGTGCAAGAGGTAAGCTAAAGGCTAGGGCAAATGAGAGGATAGAATGATGATCTCGTTATGAGTTGGACCCCTATTTAAAGGGAGAGATCATGAGGTCCTAAAATGAAGGAGCCAAAAGCATTTGATTCTCATTAGAAAAGGGAATCTCATATTCACTATCAGTTGCTAGGAAGCACTGTTAGGGTTTCGCCATGTGTCTTATGAGACATCTCAAGGACAAACTTTCATTTCGTTTGAGGATTCTCATAATCCACGTATGTTACTTCCTTTTGTGACCCTTTTAAACTGATGTGTTATGGGTGACATCATTATTTAACTTGCACGTCCTTATTAGGCCCACGGGTGTCCCATCACACACGTTATTTAACCACACACGTGTTTCTATCATTTGTTTCTGACCTACGGTGAGTCCGCGCTCGTCGCAGTTCTACGGTGGCATTAAGCTCATCGCAAGTCTACACGAGTCGAAAACTTATCACAAGTTCATGCGGGGCCAAAGTTCATCACAACCTGTTTCAGGTCAAGAGTTCATCGCAGGTGTGCGATGAGTTGTAGACTCATCATAGATGTGCGATGGGTTATAGATGCATCGCAAACATTCGTGTAGCATTGGTTTGACACCCTCTATATTCTGATGGTCTGAATGACCACTATGTACCTACATTAACCCCCTGCTTATCGGTAAGTGGGATCTTACTGATAAGCATTTCTGTTATTGGGTTTGCTTTGGAAGTTTGTTATGGAGTGATGGGGATGAGGATTGTAGGTGTTGTGGTACCTTGATTCTTTCGCATTGGGTCTGGTGAGCGTTCCTTCTCTTGATAGAATGCTTTGTGGACTTTATGTATAGAAAATTTTAATTTGGGTGGGTTATTGCCCCCCTGATTATTGGTAAGTGGTAGTTTACCAATAAGCATTCTCGCGTCCAATTCAATGGTGTTGTTTGTACTTGGCTAAGAATCAAAGGCATTTGTATTGGGTCAACTTTCACTTTCCTTGTGATTTAGCCCTCTGTCTTTTGACATGTTGCTTTCTATTGATAAGTAACTATGTGCTCAATTGATTGGCGAAGTTCTGAGCCCCTTAACTACAGGCAATAAGCGACTTGTCAAAAGACAATTGCTATATATAGCAGATTCCGGGCTTCCAGCCCCCTTCTCGGTTAAAGGAGGTCTTTCCAAATTAAAATTTAAGCCCCCTTGTTTCACGATAGGGCAATATTTTGCCGAAGATAGACAAAGTGGTGATTTTGATTTTTAGCCCCGTTGTCTTTGGCGAAGTTTTGTCCATCGTGGAATACATAGTACAAGGTTGTGACTGGTTGTTTGGGTGAAGTGGCCTCTCGCATTCGTTAGTTAGTTGGATTGGTGGGAGATCCGTTATGTACGAGTGACATGGCATTCATCATTACTTTCTTATAATTGTCATCTTGTACTAATGCACTGCGGTCGTTCGTATGGATCGGGGATTAAGTGTGATAGTTTAAAGTGGTGGTTGCGGTGGTACATTTGAATTAATTCGCCAGTTATACCGCCTTTCTAGGCTATGTTTGTAATTTCTGTTAGCATACTTTTTGGTTGAGTGACAGCGGGAGAGATGTAATCATATCTTCACCTTCCCCAGTGCCGTTTGGTATTCCAGGCAGTGCATTAATTTCTGCTAGCATACTCCACAAAATGGCAGTGCCTGGGAGCCGTTTGCACTTTCTAGTTGCATTCTTCCTTGGAGTCCATTTTGCTGTCTTTGCGTCTGTGTTTCTCCTTCTGAGTTCGATTCCCCTTTTGCATTGCTATCTTTTTCTCTAATTTCACAAATGGCCCCTCGTTCACAAAATAAATCTGAATGCCCTTTTATCGAATTTGTTAGGGTTGTTGACACCATCGAAATGATGTCGGAGCGTGAGATGGCTAAGATGGATGACGGTCGCAAGGATGGAGGGTTCGACGCCATCGATTGAAAGGAGTTAATGTGTCTTTATGGTCACTTGTAGAAGATGTTGTGCTCTTGGCGCTCCCATTTGGTGGGTCGATGTTCGCCCATCACTTACAGTTTCCTGAGTCCATCCCTGCCAATTTGTTCCATGATTTCATGTCCCAAGTCGATGAGTCGACTGCCTGAGGGAAAATGCCACTAGAAGCGTGGGTGGCCTACTGATTCGAAACCAACAACACGGGTGATGTGATGGTTCATGGGAGATAGTCAGTGTCATCTTATGTGTTCATTCTATACGTTGCATCCCGGTTCCTCTTTCCAGGTAACTCTGAATATGGCCTTCGTACTGTATTGGTTCCCCTTTCCGTGCTTGCTACTGGCAGTCATCAGTTGCTGTTGGTTTCAATGTTTTTGGGCTATTTGTTCGAGCAGATGGAAGACACCGTCCATCAAATAATGGATCCAAGGTATAAAAGGCATTGCAGCTACATATTCTCTCCCTTTCTCTTCATGTACATGTGTGAACGTCTCGAGCTTAGCATTGCAACTTTGGATGGAGATCAGACTAAAGGACATTCCTTGGGTGTTTGTCGGGGAAAACGTTGGCTTGGCTCCAAGAGGCTTAGGCAGTTCAGGGTTGCCGAGATCAAATTGAAACTGTCTTCTCTAGAAGGGTTTGTGTGGAGACCTTATACTCAGGCCATTTGGCATTCCATGCCATTTTGTATTGGTACTGTCATTCTTGAAGATGGCAAAATGTGCAGCTGAGGCGACTCATCCCCTTCCTGGCATGGCACGTCTTATTCTTTGGCCCGGTGTCATCGCCTATCTTGATCAATCCGGCGAGGCGCAAGTTGTGGCCTATCTTCCTAACAGAGTCCTCCATCAGTACGGGTATGATGACTTGTGTTCTCAGTTTCTACAGTCTATAGGGGAAGATGTGTTCTGGAGTCGTGGGAATGGGTTAGCAATCCCGAGGGTTTCTTGATTCCCTGTCGCAGGGTACAAGGGAGTTAAGGTCCTTAAGTCCCTGCATTTGGCCTACATGTGTTCATTGCTTGGCGGGTTCCAATTATTCATGTCTGCGACCCCCCGTCCTCATCACGTCATGGCTCCTCCTCTGGGTCATGCAGCTAAGCAAGGACCGGGACCAGCTCCTCCTCAACCAAGGTCTGCAGCAGCGATGACAGAGGAGCCTGAATTCATGGGCGTTATTCGTAAGGGTAAGCGTCTTGCGGTTGAGGAGGGGCAAGGCAGACGACCACCTACGTCAAAGAAGGCTAGGACAGTGCGGGTGCCTCGCTCTTACTGGCCGTCGGTACCTGGGGAGGCCTGTGATGCCAGGTCCGATGTTGCCTCTTCCCGGGCTGAGGAGCACCTACATGGCAATCCTCCAACTTCAGTTCCTGAGGCAAAGGAAACAACTGATACAGAATCAATGCAGTCTGTAGTGTCGGTTCCTTCCTCTAAGGTCATTTCTGTTCTGGTCACTGGTGGGCAAGTGAAAAAGATGGTTCCCCGTCCACGTAGGAGGGAGCCCGATAGTGTTGATTTGGTAAGATTCTATAACTTTGTAGTGTATTTGGTTTATTGCCACTTATGTTATTATGTTGACTTGTACTGATCTTTTTACAATCGTTTGTGTTCAAGCAGGTGGAGGTCGGTAATGCCCGACGCGATGTGGGAGCCCCACAAGTCCCTTCTAAGGACATTGTGGGTGAAAAGGTACAGATAGTGCGCATGTTTATTTGATTCTTTAGTATGTTTTATTTCCTTGTACTAATCGTGTGTTATTTATTTCATCGTAGGGGGTTTGCGATGTCAATATCTCTTTTGTTCTAGTTTCCCCCGTGATCAGGCAATTGGTGAGAGATCTGCAATCCTTACAGCCCCCTGCCGAGGTGTGACGGTTCAGCACAGGCTTAGCCTTGCCTTGCCTACGCTTGGCAGGCTTACGTTAGGGTCATGCCCGTCATTTTCGCCTATAAGATTTTTGGGAGAACTGATGTCATCTTCAAGCAGACCACCAAAAGCTTAACGTACTCTTTGAGGAGGGGTGGTTGACCTCCTTGGGTGCCTAACTTTGGCACTCCTAGACCTTCATCCCCTTGCGGGGCAGCCCTGGTTAACGGCTAGCATGGCTACCAGGGTTCCTCATGGGCGCACACTTGCTCATGGGGATAGTGTTGGACCGGCACTGCGCTACCGATACTCAAGGGAGGCTTGGCATGCGGGCCTGGCTCAAGCATGTCCTTCACTTCGCCAGCCCCTTTGCCCAAGCTGATTGAGCTATCCCATTGCCCCTAGTGCACGGGTGGGTTCCGGCCCAAGCGGTTGCCTATCATCAKGGCACACAGGTGCCTGTCATCACCGGCATACAGGAGACCCTTCACATCGGTGCCAAGTCACCTCATCGGCGCATGGTCGCTTTCCATTATGGTTGTCCCCCTTTAGCACGTAAGCGGCGCCTCCCATGGACCGGTCTGAGTCAAGAGAGTGCCTCGGCCATTGGACTTGAGGTCATGATCCAGTGCTACTGACTTTGGTGGAGCCATCCCATCAGGCAACTCCTAGCCTCTAAGCGCATAAAGGCTTGTCCTGGCCTGCCTTGGCCAGGACGTCGCACGGGTTTCTTCCGCTGTAGAACTACCCCCGTGACAGAGGGGCAGGGAGAACCTAAGGAGCATCCTGGTGACTCGGGGGACACGAGAGTGACTGAGGAGGCTACTATCGGTGACTCTGCGCCTATCCCCTCTGCGCAAGGAGAAGGAGAAAAAACCACAGCAGGCCTACAGGAGCAGCCCCCCAGTGCTACGGTGGGTCCGAATGAGGTCAGTCGAGAAGATTTGCTGGCAACCGAAATGCCAAAATGTCCTGTTCAGAGTTCGGTGGATGTGGCTTGCTGCACTGGAGAGGTTGTCCTTGTGTCTGGCCAGGTTGCCGAAGGAGAGCATGAGCAAAGACTCCCTGAGGTGGCTCACTAGAATGAGGGGTTGTGAAGAAACGAAAAATATGTGGTTTCTGATTCTGTGGTGAAATCTGCTTCTCTGATCATGCAGAAGGGGTGGTTACTCACTGTGGAGCTCCCGTCGGTGGTTATAGGTACTTGAACACTATTGTGGCCATGATGAACTGTATTACGGGTCAGTCCATAGAGGAGCTCTCATGGTCAGGTTTTGCCAACTAGCTCAAGACATGTTCATCGTTTTCCACAATGGGTTCCAAAATGGACTGGATTGAGGAGAAGGTGGTCCAATTAGCTCATATTTTCAGGAAGGTTGGCTACAAGGAGTCTCAGCCACTGACTACACAAGCCTTGAAAGAGCTTCGCTAGTGCCATAAGATTGTTGAGGCCAATCTTGCAAAGGCCAAGGAGAAGCTAAATGCTTTTTTCAACGAATGCGCTCGACAACGGAAGATAGTCTAGCAATATGAGGCAGAGGACAAGGAACTAACAGATATTGAGGCCGAGCGACAGAGTTTAGAAGAAATTTCCCGTGTCAGGGATGGATGGTTCAAGGAATGAAGTGTTATGCCATTTTGTATTTTGTAAAACCAAATGAACTTTTGAATGAAAGGATCGTTTTGTACCTATCTATATTTTTAATTTGCTATGGTTTGTTGCCTCTGTTATATTTATGAATCAGGAGGAAGCATACCCATGGGCCTACTAGGCTGATCAAAGCGCTAGTAAGCCTTAGTAGGCCGAATATGATGCCAGTAAGTCGTTCAGGCCCTGTGAGTCTTGCAAATGTGGGTTTTGTGATATTTTCCACTTTGGCCTTTGTGTACCAAGGCCCCATAGTATGGTTGAGGTTGCAGCATAGTTACTGAGATTAGGTATCAGTATATTTGAAAAAAAAAGGTAAATATATGTGAAAAGGTTAAATTTCATCGCATGTAAAAAAGTTGAAGACTATCCCATTTGAGGATTTAAATTTCATCATGTTCCAAGAAATTGAACTTTACCGCAAAGATTAAAGTATATCACATTTGACAAAGTTCAATATTGTTGAAAGTGGAATTGCGTCACATATGCGAAGGTTAACTCTTTTGAAATGGCATCGCATATTAAGAGTTTTAATTTCATCGCATATGCCGAAGTTGAGTACTATTGCATGAGAAGAAAGAATTCATCACGTATGCCTAAGTTAAGTACTATTGTATGAAAAGATGGATTTCATCACATAAGAAAATTTGAAATTGCATTGCACTTGCGAAAGTTAGAACTTGCCGCAATTGTCAAAAGAATTAAGTATCATCATATGAGAAGGGTTAGGTGTCACCATGTGGTCAAGTACCATCGGGTTCATTAGAAAAATGAATACCCCTTTGTGCGAGCCGGTTAAACTTCATCGCATATTGAGATAAAAAAACATCATCGCACTCCTAAGATGGTGTAATTTTATCACACATGCGAAAAATGAATGTTGACCAACTGAGAGCTAATTGTCATCGCATTGGAGAGGGATAAGTGTTGTCATGTATACAGAGATTAGATTGAGTCGCTCCTGGTGTTGCCAGGATAGTTCATTGCACATAAGAGGGTCTAAGTGCCAAGATGCTTTATCGTGTCCAATGCGATCAAAGTCTTTCTAGGGGTGTCAAGGTAATTATACATATTCAGAGAAATAAATTATTAGGGCTTTATTATCATACCTTGTATCTAACATGCTCTCCTTGGGGTTGCAGGGTAATTCATCGCAATTTGGAATGTTAACTGCTTTGCTTTGTCATCGTTTCTAGGGTTTTCAGGGCCTTCCTAGTGTTGTCAGGGTATGTAAGATCGTGTCTGAGGTTGTTAGGGCCTTCCTGGGGTTGCCAGGGTATGTAATACTAGTTTGGGGTTTCCAAACCTCCCCCGGGGTTGCTAGGTCTTCGCATGGAGCATGCGACATCCTAGGCAGACTAGGGAATATATGTAATCTAGTTTGGGGTTGCCAAACCTCCCTGGGGTTGCCAAGTCTTCGCATGAAGCATGCTACATCCTGGGCAGACCAAGGAATATGTCATCTGATTTGGGGTTGCCAAACCTCCCCTGGGGTTGCCAGGTCTTCGCATGGAGCATGCAGTATCCTAGGCGGACTAGGGAACATGTCATCCGCTTTGGGGTTGCCAAATCTCCCCCAGGGTTGCCAGGTCTTTGCATGGTGCATGCGGCATCCTAGGCAGACCAGGGTATGTAATGTATGTATGTATGTATATATATATATATAGTAGGCATAGTTAGGAAAGAGTTATCATACAATTCGAGGGCAATAATATGTTCAGAATGTAAAATGCTTTCATTCAAGAATATGTATACAAAGAATTCATGACATTCTCTGTTTTGAGTACAAGATACTTTTTATATACAAGGACAAATGACAAACTTTTCTTTCAAGATTGCACAATCAAAAATTCACAACATGCTTTGTTTTGAGTACAAGTATAGGAGACATATAACATGCTTTTCCTTCAGAGTTACAATTTACATTACTAGTCATGATACGGTTTCAACCAGTGACCATTCACAGTCTCATCTTGTTCATTTGTGTCTACAGTCTTGAGTATATAGTATCCAGTTCGGTAAGCTTCTTGGATTATGTAAGGTCCAACCCAGTTAGGTTTAAATTTTCCATCTGATTTACCCTGTTTGATGTGGAGTGTTGTTTTAAGAACCTTGTCACCCTCTTTAAATTTTCTGGGCTTTACTAATTTGTTGAAGTTAGAAGCCATGATTTGTTTGTATCTAATATGTTTCTGTAATGACTTCTCTCTTCCTTCTTCTATGAATTCTAGTTCGTCACTGAGCAAGTGGTTCATCTCCTCTATTTGAAACAATTTTCCCATTGAGTAGGCTACTCGGGTAAACACTGTCTGTATCTCTGCTGGTAGAACAACTTCCTGGCCATATACTAACGAGTAGGGAGTTGCCTGTGTGTTCTTCCTAACTGTTATAAGATAAGACCAGTGTTTCAGACAAATTTTCTGACCAATCTTTCTGGTTTTTGCTACCATCTTACTCAGCATCTTTAACAAGGTTTTATTGGTTGCCTCTACTCGCCCATTCCCTTGTGGGTAATAGGTTGTAGATGTGCCTAGTCTTGCCCCATACTGTCCCAATAGGTCCTGGACTTCATGATCCTTTAAGAATAACCCGTTATCTATTAAAATTCTCATAGGGACCCCGAACTGGTGGACTATATGCTGCCTAAGGAAGTTTGTGATGTTCTCTGCACAAATTCTTCTCAAGGGTATGGCCTCTGCCCATTTGGTGAAGTTGTCTATGGCTACTATGATGAAACAATATCCCCGGGAAGGTGGGTGCATTTTGCCTATTAAATCTACCCCCATGTATGGAAAGGCCACGGTGTGACAATGGGGTAAAAGGTTATTGGATGGTCAGTGTATCCTTTCGACATGCACTTAGCATTTGTGGCACCGTAGTACATGCTTCTAGGTATCTTCCATCATTGTAGGTTAATAAAACCCTAAGTGTAGAAAGTGGATGTCTAAGGCTAGCTGTCCTTGGTGAGCTATTGGTTCAGTGATATGGGCTGCATCTAAGGCTTCTTCTATTTCCTCACCGGCTAGGCATCGCAGAGGTTTTCCAGTGTAAGACTTTCTGTAGAGCACTCCATCATGAAAGTAAAATCTTTTGGCTTTGGCTAAGAGTTTTCTCTGGGTCGGTCGGTGTGGTGTTGTTCTCAATATAATCTATGTACATGCTTCACCAACTATAAGACATTCATTTCTGTCTACTTCCGGAATGCACTTCTCACAGTCATTATGTACCTTGGCTGCATCTATTTTCATCTCTAACCAATAGTATCCCAACCTTTGCAACCTTCTATATAATGTGCCGGTTATGTCTCTACAGTAAGTTTTGTGAGTTTCATTCAAGACTACTTCTACCTCTTTGGGCCCTAAGCATCTTGTCCTAACTCCATCTGCCAATCTATAGTATAATACTCCGTTCACCAGTTGGAACCTTAATAGTGTCTTTCC